ATAATAAATGTGTATACTGCAATACAGTATTTCTCAAAACCAACTGGAAAGAATTACTGTAAGCATTTTTTTCATAAAAAATTACTCCTTCGAGAATAATTGTTTTCATAGTTGTGCTTTTTTGACATTTTAGGAAGGAAAATTACATGAAAACATTTGTTCTGCAAACCCAAAGTGTGAAGGAAGTTGCACTCAAATACCAAAAAAGTTGCTTCCATGCCTCTGAATTTCAAAAATATTTTTAGTTTGCATAAAGGCTCATGGTAAAGAGGATCTTTCTTTTTATGTCAAGGAAAATGAAACAGATGACACAGCTGAGGGAGACCCCATGTGGATGACGCAGTTTTAAATCACTCCAGGCCCTGTCGCCCTGTTTCCGTGAAGGTCGCTTCAGGTCACTGCCTGCGTCGTTGACGTCCCTACCTCCGTGTTTTAAATGCTGACCTGCGTATTAATTAGGAATTGAGGTTTACCAATAAAATATAAAATAGCACCAAGTAGTTAGATCTTTACTTGATGTCAGATGTCATGGAGCCCTGGAGAAGGCCCACTCAGGGGTGGATGAGGTATGGAGGGACCACCCAGGCCAAGGCGGGGAGCGTGAGCAGCAGGGAAGCAAGGTTACTGTGGCACCTGGGAGGCTGCGGGAAAGGCTCCCGGCCCCTGACGCTGAGCAGGGTGAGCAGAGTGACCACGTGAGGGAGGACAGCCTGGCGCAGTGAGTTCAGAGCCACAGGGAAACATTCCCAACGCCAGGTGGTCGCTGCGTTCACACACGGGAAGGTGTCTTTTCTGTGCCTGTGACCACAGCACTGCAGCCTCCAGGTGCTTCTGGGTCTGCCACAGGGCCCCAGAGGACAGCCGATGCTGGCGGCGCTCATCTAACCGGGCCCAGTGTGACTCTGTGTCGCCTGTTGACAGCGGGCATCGCTGTGAAGTGTCAGGACACCACGCCGAACCAGATGCCTGTAATGGGGACTTTTAATAGGCAGTCCCTTACCTCCACCAGGTGTGGGAAGGAGAAACGGTCCTGATCTCTGTGGGGTGGCTCCAGGGGTTCCACAGCCCAGACCAGGGACCCTGGATGGACAGGCTGACCAGCACCTGTGCTCCTGTACAACCTGAGCCCGTGGACAGGTCACATGTGCTCCAGCCAGGACACCTTATAAATACTGAGATACATTTTCTTTATTTTCAGGAACCATGCAGTATAAATTCCTCAGTGTATAAAAAAGGTATATTCTTCGTGTTTCTTTCAGTTTCACCTTAAAGCTAAGCTGAGTGCACAGAAAATCACTCTTTGCTGCGTGCTACGTAAAACCTGCTGACTGTCATTCTAAGTGATACTTTTCACCTGGCTGACATGTATCAACACGCTGCTTTGACTTGTGGAAGCCCCAAGAGAGGTAACATTTTCTTTCTTTTCTGCAAGTCGCATTGGTGTTGAGTTAACGAGAAGGCGCAGTGGGCTCCATTCATGGCTGCTCAATTCCATTTTTCCTTCGAAACGCACCACCCACACGACCCCCATGCCCACGTTCCATCAGCAGTCGTTCCCTGAAGTGTGGAGGGAGGTCGGGGAAGTCGCAGACGTGGCAGCTCCGGTCCCCACTGCTCACTGGGAACACTGCAGCCAGGACACACCCTCCTCAGAGCCTCAGGCCGTGACAGATAGTGAGTGACCAGAGCGGCTGAGCTTCCCAGAAGGCTGAGTCAGGGTCCAAGTCCTGCCCCCTGCTCCTTGCTCCCTGCTACGCCACCTCACTGGCAGATGTGATTACGGTGAGACCTGGAGGTGAGAGCACGGACCCACAGTGGGCGTTACACCCAGTGGCTGACGTCCTGGTAAGAGAAGGGAGAGGGAGACTGGAGACCCACAGACACCACCTAAATCTATTAAAGACACTGAGTTTTGGTTAAAAACACTCCCAGAAAGAAGACTGCTGCGGCACACCCAGATGGCTTCGTGGGAAATCCTACCAAACATTTAAAGAAGATGTAATGCCAACTGTACAAAAGCTCTTCCAGAAATTTCAGGACAACAGGATAACCCCCAAATCACTCCCTAAGGTTAACAGTGCTCAGATAACCAAACCAGAAGTAGACATAAGAAAAGAACTATCCCTCAAATACAGATGCAAATATTCTTTCAAATGTTTGCAAACTGAATTAAAACAATGAAACAGAGCACTACCTCACACCCAGGCAGGGAGGCGGGCATGTCCACTCACCACTCCAACTCAGAATCTTCCTCAAGATTCTCACCAGGAGAATCACCAAGCAAAGTAAATCAAAGGCATCAGATCAGAAAGGAAGAAGCAAAACTCTCTTTATTTGCAGACAGCATAATTTTCTGCCTAGAAAACACAGAATCTATGAGAAAGCTACCAGAACTTGCAAGGGAATCTAGTAAGGTTTCAAGACACAAAATCGATATATAATGAATCATATTTCGAATACTAGCCATGAACAATGAAAAAGAGAACCTTTAAAAAAGTATATGTACAGTTGCATCAAAACATTAAGTAGTGATAAATCTGACAGAAGATAAGATTTGTACACTGAATTCTGCAAGACATTGCAGAATTAAAGAAAACCTAAATAAATTAAGAGATATGCAGTGCTACTCAAAAGACTCAATATTGTTAAGATGTTGTGTCTCTGACAGGTGCGGACCAGTCAGTTGGGCCTTGTCCCACAAAGCGAAAAGGACGCTGGGTTTGATCCCCGCTCAGGGCACGTGCCTGGGTTGCCGGTCTGGTTCTAGGCCGAATGCATGGCAAGGGGCAACCGATGGGCGTTTCTCTGTCACACAGGTGTTTCCTTCCCTCTCTTTCTTCCACCCTTCCCCCCTAAAAATAAGTAAATAAAAGATTTTTTAAAAAAAATAATGTATGGACCTAGCATAATCCCAATCAAAATTGCAGAGGAATTTTTCTGTGGAAAATCACAAACCAATTCTAAGATTCAAGTGGAAATGGAAAGGACCTGGATTCACTGGGACAACTTTCAAAAAGAAAAACTGAGTTTAGTTTGGAAAACTGAAGTAATGCCCCCTGATTTCAAGACACATTACAGAGTTATATCAACATGGTATGAAATGGACATCAAAATGGATAAACAGATCAATGAGGTAGGAGAGAGGTTCCAGAAGCAGAAACACGTACATGTGGTCAGTTAAGATTTGACAAAGGTGCAAAGGCAATTCTGTGGGAAAAGAACAGTCTTTATAACAAACGGTGGAACAATTGCATGTCACATGCAAAAATGAAACAGCCTTATAGCAATGTCTCACATCATGTAAAAACCAGCTCTCCAAGGATTATAGGCCTGAATGTAAAATGTGAAATTATAAAACTTGTAAAGAAAACAGGAGAAAATATTTGTGACCTTGATTTAAGCAAAGCCTTTCAAGATATAATGAAAACACAATTATTTAAAAAATGATAAAGACAGAACTAAAATAAATATCATGCTCTGTAAATAAATATCATGCATATGGGCACTTAATCCAGAAAATTGGGATTTGTTTAAGATTAGAATGTCAACCAATTTCATTCAACATATGAACAGGACTAAGAAGAAAAACTGTAAGATAGATTCTTTTTAAAAGACTTTACTCATTTATTTTTAGATATAGAGGAAGGAAGAGAGAGAGAGAAACATCAATGTGTGGTTGCCTCTCACGTTCCCCCCACTGGGGGCCCAGCCCACAACCCAGGCATGTGCCCTGACCGGGAATCAAACCGGAGACCTTTTGATTCGCAGACCAGCACTCAGTCTTCTGAGCCACACCAGCCAGGACTGTAAGACAGATTTTTGACAAAATGACAAGAACTCTCAGCAAAGGAGGAATGGAAGGAAACTCCCTGAACCTCAGTGAGGTATCTGTGCAAGACCTACCAAAAGCAGCCTGACTTCCCCTTCCCCCCAAGGTCGTCCACAAGTCCAAGGTGCCCTCTCACCACATCTGCTCAAGCCTGCATAGGGTGTCTCAGTGAAATGAGAGAGAAGAGAGACAACAAAAGGCACATGCATGAAAAATAAGCCATCTTTATGCACAGGTAGCATGATTGCAAACAGACAAAATTCTAAGATACCTACAGACAAGCCACCGAAACTAACTAGTGGACTTAGCAAGGCTGCAGCACTCACAGCAAACATGTGGGATGTGTTTGTGCTTCTGGACAGCAACAAACTCCTGGAGGCTTACACTTAAAACCATAATTTACAACACCAAAATATAAGATACTTAGGGGCTGGATTGGAAAGACATGGGTAAGACCTATAAATTATAGGTGAAAATTATAAAACATTGCTGAGAAAAATCAAAGAAAACCTAAGTAAGTGAGACATACACTATGCCCAAGCACAAGTGACTCAATAATGCTTAGCTACTGATTATCCCCAATGACCCATAGAATCAACACACTCTCAATAAAAATCCCAGCAGATGGTTTGGGGATATTAACAAATTGATTCTAAAATTTACGTGGAAGATGAAAGGATCTAGAAGAGTCAAAACAATTTTGGCAAAGAGGATCAAAGTTGGAGGACTTGCATTATCTAATTTCAGACTTAATGCAAAGCCTCAGTGGCAGGGACGATGCGACATCGGGATAGGTGTCAATGTGCAGGTAGATGGAATGCAACCTGAAGCCCAGAGACAGACACACACAGACATGGTCACTTGATTTTTGACAATGTTGACAAGGTAGTTCTATGGGGCAAGACATTTTCTTCAACAAATGCAGTTGGATATCCAGCGAGAAAAGAGAGTGTTCATCTCTGCCCCTACCACCGACTCATGCCACACCCAAACATTAGCTCAAAATGGAATATGGACCATAATATTAAAGCTACAATATTAAAGCTACATACTATTAAAAGCTGTAAAACTTCTGAAATAAGAAAATCTTTTTTAAAGTTGTTTCAAAACATTTTATTTATTTACAAAATATCAATGACCTCAGTGTAGGTAAGTCCTTCTACAACAGGATGTCAAAAGCGTTACCCATACAAAAGAGATATTGATAAACTGGATTTCATCAAAACCTGACACGCCTGCCCTTTGGGAGATGCAATGGATGTTTAACAAAACGTGCCAATGCTCAGATACGGAAAAGCACAGGATTCATGGTTCCTCGTGATTCTGCAGGTTTCCTGGGAGGTTCATCCACTGCAGATGCTGGGGTCCCTCATTCAGCTGCATCCATCTGGGGCTGCATCCATCTGGGGCTGCATCCACCTGGGGCAGAGACAGCTACCTAGGCCGGGACATGCACCTGGGCAGGGACATGCACCTGGGCCAGGGACACCCACCATGGCCTCTTGTCCCCCATGGTGTGCTTTTACCCAACCTCAACAAGAGCCACATTCCTCCATGTGAGCCATGAACAATGAGAAAAATTAATAAAAACAGTAAGATTCCTTTATTTTACCACTGCAAAATTATAATATATCCAGGAATTAGTCTAATAAAAATGTAGAATCTTTATGTAGAAAAAATTTAAATGCTCTCAAAGAACTTAAAAGAAGACCTAAATAAATGAAAAAATAATCCATGTTGGTGAAAAATAATGCTTAACATTGCAAAGTATGAAATGTGTTTTTTTTTTAATTTTCTGTATTTCTAACACTTTGACAGCTGGAGGCCTCGCTTCCTCGGGACTGACTGCCTCTCCCAGGGCCACGGGCCTGGGAGCATGCTTTCCAAGTGCAAACCAACCACCCAGTACCCGCCCTCTCCTCTATCGGGCACTCACACTGAGGGCCACTGTCCTCCGCCCTAATCACCTCAGGGCAGATACCAGCCGTTCAGGGGCAGCCCCTACCCCTTAGCCGACTGAAATTATTGACACTAGCCAATCCTAAACCTGTTTATCCTTCCTGGCCTGTTCCCCGCCTGTGGAAACCACAACAAAGGGTATTCCCTGGGCTCTCTCCCGACCTGACTGACCCTGGTTCTTCCCCTGAGGCCCCAGGTCCCTGTGCGCCTCCTGTTTCTAGGGAGCTGTGAGTGAAACTTCTTCCCTGATGACTGATAGTCATCCCATCTGCGTGTCTTACTCACCTAATTAAACCTAACTCCAGGGACCTTTCAACAAATTCTTACTGCAACAACCTACACATTTAATGCAACCCAAAACTTGCAGTAAAGAAATTTTAGCAACCGGACAAACTGATCCTATAATCTGGATGGATAGAAAGTTCTACAAATCACAGACAAGCCTTGAAAAGAAGCTCCAACAGGAATGCACCCTACTGGTTACTACGGCACATCCCCCTAAGGTACAGAAATGAAGACAGTGTGGTGTCCTCACAGGAACCAATAAACCGGGGGATTAAAATAGAGTGCCTGCAACAGAGCTTTATGAACACTTCTGTCTGTGTGCAAAGCGGAACCACAAATGGGAAACTAATAAACGGTGATGAGACTATTGGGTCACTGTGTAGAGGAAAAAAATCTGTGAGCAGATTAAAAATAACCATAAGGTGGTTATTCTTAGAAATAAGGTGGAACTAAAAATAAATAGTAAGAGAAAATGAAGGAGAAAATGTCTTCTTTTCCTGTAAATAATTCTAAAATTAAATAAATAAACACAGTGCAAATCCCCAGCCCCACAGCAACCAGCAGGCAGTGTCCTCAGTTCATCGGGAGGGTGGGAGAGAGTTCCCTCTTGATCTCCCCGCTTAAAAGAGAACAGCAGGGAGCCACAGGGGCAGAGCTTGGCGGGCAGCCCCTACGCCCCGCCCCGCAGGCTGTGCATCCCTGAGGTTCCTGGGGAGCCAGGGGGAACTTGCCTTAGTAGCTAAAGGACCTGTTTGGTAGTTTTTCCAAAACTGGGAAACTTAACCCAGAGATAAACTGAAGGTTATCCCCTTCTTCTGAAAGAAACTGCTTATAGCTCCATACCCAAGACCAACTTTTCCTAATCAAGCTTCCAGAACACTCCAGAACTTCCAGAACATTCCATCATAGTATTAAAATCGAAGCCTAAGAGTGGACAACCAGTTCCAGCCAACCAACCTCCCAGCCTGCACCATTCTTCCCACAGCCCCACCTGCCAGCCCCTACCTCTCACTCTCAGCCTCCAGGAGATAGTTGACTTCCTCACACACAAAAGATCTTTGTCCGAAATGGTTGATCCACCCTGTTAGCTATCCAGTCCTTTCCAGCCCGCCCGAGGAGGAGTCCCAACCTCTGGTCCCAGCCCATTGCTTCCCCTGACCCTAGATCTTCTGGACTGAGGTAGGGTCATCAGTGGGTTTTCAACTGTGCCTCCAGGCCCACTGTTGGCCCTCACCTAGGAACAGGCCCAGAGAGTAACCCTCCCTAAAGCAACCATCCTGGATCTGCACCCTACTCCCTGTGTCTCCATCTGCACACCCCCCCTCTTGCCCCCTTCCTCCTTCATCGGACAGCTTTAAAAGAAACAGTCCTTGGAATTCCCATTCCCTGTCCACCACGTGGCTCACTGCAGGGTGCTTTCCACAGCTATCTACGACAACTGGACAGCATTTAAGTTCTATCCCAGCCAGTGCTCCTGAGGGGAGCAACTCCTGGACTCACCATCCTGAGCCCTCTGCACCTTCACCCCGCTCTCCTGGCGGCCTTTGGCCCTTGTTGGCCTTCCAGAGTTCACCATGGCTCTGTTTATTGTGAATGAGTGGGACACCCTCCCTTTTGGTCTCGCCTCTCCCTCTTCCTCCCCACTCTGCCCAGCCTCTCCCACTGCCCCACCAGCCTTCCCAGCTGGACTCTTGTATCTGAGATCAGAGCCATCACCAACCCAGTCCCTGGAGATCAGCAGAGTGCTGATGGCCACCGAGGCAAGGGAAACAGTGCCTGCTGGTGTCCGCCAGCAGGTCATGTCCACCACAGTTCCCAGGGCCTTTACGTCATCACAGCACAGAGTGGAAGGCAACACTGCCACTGGCTGTTTCTCACAGACGTGCCAGCCGAGGTTCCAGGAGAGCTCGCTTGCCCAGGTCAAGGATAAGGCTCTGAATCGGTGTTGGACCCAGCCCTGCTCTTCCCTTCCTTGTTAACTTCGTTGTGTGGGATGCCAGAGAGAACCAATGGCCTCTCCTTTGGTCCCAATTCTCTCCCTCCGTTAAAACAGAGAGGGGGTTCAGCATGGTGATACTTCACTGTTTTGGAGGTAAGGGTCTCAGCTGCGTTATCAGAGAGCTGAGTCACCCCCTGACCCACTGCCCAGGAAGGGATGAGGCTGGAGGGCCTTACAGATAACAGAAGCCCCAGTGAGGTCTGACCTTCCTGCAGCCTTAGAACAATGCAGGAAGAGCTGGGCTCCTTCCCGTGATGTCAGACCCCCATGTGTGCACAGAGGGGCTGCTGGGCTGTGTCCCTGTCAACCTCCCTCGCCCATCAGCTGATGCCTGACCGCCAGGGCCACAAGGAGGGGCGTGCCAAGAAAGTTGCTGTTCTCCCTACAAAAGGTTTGCGGTGAATTTTTTTCTTAATTTACGAAATTTGAACATGGAGCTATTTCACTTTTACCCTAGTTAATACTGTGCTATAAATTAGGGATCCCCAAATATCTCCCCTTCATTCAGAGAGTAATTCCATGAACTAGAGTAATTAGGGAATAAGGATTATTTGATTCAAACCACTGGACTCCCCTCCGTGGACCCCCTGCCTGGTCCCACCGTCTGCGTGGGCCCCGGGTTTGAGCGGACCCCACATGTCTGGGATGAGGCCTACTCTAACAAACAGAGTTAGCACGGACCTAGGAGAATGCAGCGAGAAGCCCCTTCCCCAAGACCGCCTTGCAGCAACAGTCTGAGTGAGGACAAGGTAGAGGGAAGAAAAGCGGCGGGGGCTGGTTCTGGAGAGCAGTCCTAATGGACCCGAGAATGCAATGGCCTCTTACACGTGCGGCCTGGCCAGGCCCTGCTCCTCGTGGGCCTCAAGATTTGGGGCGGTGAGGCAGAGCCTCACACCTAGACCCGGAGTGGAGATGGGGTAGCTCGCGTGCTGGACTTGGGCCAGCCACTGACCCAGTCCCCGCGCGGGTCAGCGCTGAAACCAGGGCGGCGCCCCGGGTCCTGTGCTGAGAGGCGTAAGGGGGCGACGTGGCAAGCCTCGCCGAAGTGGCAACCGGACCTCCTGTCCTCCCGGAACCGGGCCGGCCGCTGGTTCTCTGTGGTCCGGCCAGACGGGAGGCGCTCCGGCCTGGACCTAGGCGCTCCTCAAAACCCGCGCTGCTTTTCCCGCGGCCCCCCAAGAGCTAACCCGGGTTGCAACGAGCTAGCAGTGTCCGCGGCAGCTACTCCAGGCCCGCGGTGGGCGGGGGTTTGAGATAAAACCCCGCCCCGGCCCCGCCCCGCTACCGCCCCCCGCGCACGTCACACCGCCGCCCCTCCCGCGCCTGCGCGGCCGCACACCGGCCCGCTCCAGCCGCCGCGCATCCTTGTCCCGCGCCGGGCTCTGCGCTCGGCTCCCTGCTCCGCTCCGCGCCGCGCTCTGCGCCCGGCGCGCCCAGCTCCCCGGCTCCCCTTTCGGAGGGCGGCGCGGCCATGAGACTGCGGGGACGCGGTCCCCGGGATGCCCCCGCCTCCAGCGCGGGGGCCGTCGACGCGCGGCGGCTGGCGCCCCCGGGGCGGAACCCCTTCGTGCACGAGCTGCGCCTCGGCGCCCTGCGGAAGGCCCAGGTGGGTTCCCGCCGCTGCCCCGCGAGCCCGCGGCCGGGGCCGCGCCGAGGGGCGGGGATGCGCGGCGGGGAGGGGTGCGGGGAGGGGTCCTCCGGCGAGGCCCAGCCCGGCTGCCGCCCCTCTGGAGCCCGAGGCCCGCGACCGCTACACCGCTCTGCGGCCCGCATTCCGCAGCCGGAGTCCCCGGCGCCCTCGCTCCATCCTCGGTCCCCTCACCTATTTTCCCGCCGCCCGTGCCCTGAGCCTGGCTCCTCATCCTCTTTCCCCGGGCCCCCGCACCCCGGATCCAGCCCTGCATCCTCTCTCCCTGGCCCTGCACCTCTTTTCCTGATCCTCGCATCACTTCCCCTGATACCCGCAGCCCCCCTCGGCCCACGCACCTCGGTCCCTGGTGTCGTTGTCCACTCCTGCGGTGTGCAGGCTCCATGCGGTGCTGGAGCGGACTCCCCTCCCGTGTGATTTTTGTCACTTGATGAGCTTCGTACGTGGGGACCTAGTGGACGACTTGAGTCAGTGCGAGAGACAGTGGTGTGCGGGCTGTGTGGGACCCCCTGAAGATGAACAGCAGGAGCGTTTGCGCCTCTGTTTGCCAGTTGTTTTCTGGGGAATGTGCCAGGGGCGCTCCCTTGGGTTGAGTCCGCAACCAGAATCAATTGTATACAACTTCGGTTCCAGCCTGGGAGGGAACAGTGTGCCATTTGCTTCCATCTGGTGTTATTTCTGGGATCATCTGGTCCTGGCTGAGGGATGGGTGGCTGCAGGAAGCAGCGGGGCTTGCACACTCTTCCCTTCCCTTCCCTTCCCTTCCCTCTCTCCCTCACTCTTTTCTTTTCTTTCTTTCGTGTTTTCTTTTTAATTTACTGATGATGACAGAGAGAGACAGAGAAACATTGATTTCTTGTCCCACCCATTTATACATTCCTTGGTTGATTTTTGTATGTTCCCTGGGTTGGGGGTTTCCGACCTGGTGGAAAAGCAACCAGGCCAGGGCCTCCTCCTTTCCTTCATGGGGTTTCCGACCTGGTGGAATGCCTGCCTGGCGGTGTCAGGTCTCTGTGCTCCGGTTGTGTGTGGTGTTTGCATTTCTTTAAGGTACCTCCCAGTATGGCCTTTCCTTGGACTCCAGAACTACCCAGGAGCAGGCGTGCAGTTTGGGGATTTAAGTGGTTGTCTAGTTGGTGGGCAGTATGTTTCCAACTGTGACCAACTTTTGGGTGGGACATTGAGAATTTTTTAACGTGTAAAGTAATTCACCTGAAACGATGTTAAAGTGAAAGTTCTTGAAGTCAGCATTAAGCTGTCATTTTCTGGGACTCCTGCCTTTTCTCAGAGCGCCTTCTTGGTGGTTTCGATTGGCACGGGAGGCAGAGGAGACTGTGGGCGGAGATAGAAAAGAGGGAAGAGAACGGAGAGGGTGGTGTCCCTTCTAGTGATAGGAAAGGGCAAGGTTGTCCCCAGTTGGCTCCTGGTCCTTGTCCCCCACCTCTGTCCCCCACCTGCCGTGTGGTCTCCCGGTGCCTAGTTCACTTGTAGCCTCAAACCCACCACCTAGCAGGTGCTATGCCCAGAATGCTGGGGGATAGGACACACAGTCACTTCTCCTATGCTCCTGCATGGGCCCCCACCCACCAGCCCTGCCCCCGCCACTCCTGTGGTTCAGGGGGCTTTCCTTCTCCCTCTGCGTTTCAGCTTAGAACCCGCTGAGGTGCTCTGGGGGCCCAGCGAACCCTGGCTCCTTCGGGGGCTTTCCAAGGTCCCTTCTGGGCCCTTCCCCACCCCCAGGCTTGTCACAGTTGGCTCCAGTTGCCACAGGGCTCTCTCTCTCTTCCTCTTGTCCACTCTCTCCCCGCCTCTCTGCTTCTCCCTCTTGGGTGAAATATCACTGCAAGGGAGAAGCCGCCCTCCCCTCCCTGGAGGTTCCCAGAGGCCCACCTCCGTATCCCTGTCCACTTTGCAGCCCACCTGATGCCACTGCCGCTGTCTGTCCCATTCCAAACTGTGTGCTCACCGCTCCAGCGGATGGGGTCCACTGCAGGGACTCAGCTAGCTGCTGAGTGAAGAAACAGGCGAAAGGGGAGGATGTCCGAGCAGAGTAGGAAATCCCCGGCTCCCCTCCACCAGCGGTCACAGACTCGTACATTGGGGCTTTAGAGCAGTGCCTGTGGGCTCTTCAGGCTGTTCTTCACTGAGATGAGTTTGAGATCCTGGTTTTAGATGTCAGGCCGCCTCTGGATGACATTCAGAAAAAGAACAGGTGGGTAAGATACTTTGTGTACACCTTGTCACAATGTTTCAGAGACCGCCGCTGTCAGCATAATCATGTGTTTGTACCGGAGTCATTGCTGCTGCTCAGGTGTCAGCGACGTGTGGCTGAGGGTGTGTCGTCCCTCATTGCTCTCCACCTCCCAGGTCCCACTCTGAAGACTCATTTTGCTTTTCACCAGACAGCGTTCTGTCGGCCACACGTTTTACCATTATCTACTGCGTTGTAGGGTAGAGTTTCCACAGAGTGAATTGGCCCATCTACTGCCTCCCAAATCAGTAAATAAATGGATTCAGCAGTGACTGAGACACCGAGAGTGCTCAGAAATCATGTAAATTCTGGTTAAGATAAGCCAGTAAGGAGACCTGCACTTACCTGCTAGCATTTGCTGCTGGGGAAGGGCCATTGCGAGTCTGTGGATTAATGACCAGTCCATCTGTCATTTAACTGCAGATTTCGCAAGGAGCTTAAGCATCTCTTTGGACAGAAAACAATGCATAAGTTCTGAAAGCCATGGATAATTATAGTACTGGGTAGTCACATGGTGATCCGTTACTCCTGAAATCGTGAAGTGGTTTTGTATCACCCGGGTTTTTGGGTGCTTCCCGCTGGAGCGCATGGACGTGAGCGCATTCCCACTTCCAGCTCTGAAGTTCCCTCTTTTCTGAACTCCCCGTACCGGTGTCAGTGAGCACTGACTTCCTGGAGAGCAGGCCCCGGCCTCCTGTACACTTTGGAACTGAGTCCTGGGAGGGCAGAGGCTGGGGAGCGCACCCTCCGCTGGCCTGATCCCCAGAGAGGATTACCAGGAGGGCTGAGTCTGGGAAGACTCCCTCTCACCGGACCTGCAGTTGGTGGCCCTGCATGCAATTTACCCAGAAGTGGACAGTCTTGGAGTCCTTATCAGAATGCCTGAGTTTTGATTAAAAAAAAAGAAAAGAAAAGAAAAGCAGCAGATACCTTGGTTGGTCTCCACCCGGATCCTGAGTTAGGTGTGGCCCTTCTGGCGCAGGGAATCCCACACTTTGTATGCTCCTGACCACTCATAGTTGACATCCCGGCCCTTGGCTTCAGTGCCCCCCACCCCCATGCACACGGGCCAGGCCTGGCATGTCCCTCCTGCCCCCCGACCCGCCAGACTCCTGGGCCCTGCCAGCCGTGCCCCCCGCACCCCCCCCCCCCCGCTGCCCCTTGTGTCTGGTGACTCCATGCCTGAGACTCCAAAACAAGGAGCAGCTCTTTATCTAGCACCTGCTGTGACGCCAGCTGTCTTCCAGGGGTGTGGAGGGATAGGTAAATGGGAGGTGACCTGGCCTGAAGCTGGCGTTCTCGAGGGGTAATAAACCCAGGGAAACAGGGCATGGAGGGTTTCCAGGACAGCGTGTGTCCCAGGGGAGAACAGAGAAGGCCTCACCCTCCCTGGATACCCGGAGGCTGAGGCTCAAGTGGACACCAGGCCGCAGGTCTCTGACCACCTGGGAGTCTGGTGGCGATGATGCCTCTGTTGGCACAGTTGTAGCCCAGTGGGATCCAGGACATGCCCAGTGTCCTTGTGCTGGTCACTCAGTGCCACTGTGGGAGGGGGTGAGTGGAGGGTCAGGTGCTGTGTTCCCATGTCCCAGGTGAGGAGACAGGCCCAAGGCCAGTGCTGTCCCGAGTCCTGGGCAGCCAGGGCTACCTCAGTGCAGGCATCCGACATGACTATCAGGGAACTGGCCTTCTCTTCTGACTCACCGACTCTAATTTATGGAGGGGCACGCACGTAAAGCTGGACTGTGGCTAATGCTGAGGGTGGGAAGGGAGATTCAAGGTTGGAAAAAACTTGTCTTTTCAGTTTTTATGCTCTTCTGTCCTGATGTGTGGATTTTCGACATTCGTGTATGTTTTATATGTGTGTGTATATGCATACACTCACACACACATCATGTACACACAGAAGTATATAACTTATTTACACATTTTGTATACACACATACCCTGGAGTATATATACACACTCATACACAGTACATACATACACACAGAAGAATATACAGGCACACTCATATACAGAAGTATACCTGTACACACTCACATGCATTGTACATACACAAGTATGTGCATACAGTTTTGTTCCACAACCTCTTTAACTTCTTAGTACTGAGCAAAGCACAGTCAGTCTTATTTCTCATTTTAAAAAATCAGGATTTCATCCCTAAAACAGTCACTCGAAAGTGTGCTTCAGGAGCTGGGCAGCCTGCCCACCCTGGCAGGCCCACAGGCCTCAAGGCTCCGGGAGGGCCTGTCCCCGATGATGGATACCATCTGAGGAGGTGCCCTGGGCTCCCCTTCTCGGGTGAGTCTGAGCAGGGCTCCCACAAAACCGTGCTCCACAAAGCCCTACCCCTGCCCCACCCACCTGCCCTAAAGACCCGGAGCCTCCTGACAGCCCTGCTCCCCTGTCTCCCTGCCCCTGGGGCTGTGCAGGGCAAGGTGCTACCCTTCCCAGAGCAGGCCTGGGAATAGCCCCCATGGATCCCCTGGAGCTCCCCTGGGCTTGTGGGGGTGGGTTAAGGCGGCCTGGCCTGGCCTGGCCTGAGCTGTGTTTCTAACGTTGCTGGTGTTCCATAAGCGCGTAGTCTAGCTGGGAAGGGCAGTGTTTTGAAAACGAGCACCGAGGAAAGCATGTGTTTGGAAATAACATGTTGAGTGTGACCATAGTGTTTGTCCTCGAGCCCAAGTTGCTGTGCAGCTCCCGGGGCCGTGTCCGTTACACTCCACCCACAAGTGAAGACATGCGGCATTTGTCTTTCTCTGGCGGACTTGTCTCACTCAGCATAATGCTCTCCTAGTTTATTCCATGCCGTCACAGAAGGTGAGATTGCCTTCTTTTCTACGGCTGCGTAAAATTCCATTGTGTGAATGTGCCACAGCTTTTTCATCTACTCGTGGATACAGAGAACAGACAGACAGCTGTCACAGGGGAGGGGAGTTGGAGACTGGGTGGAAAAGGTGAAGGGATTAAACAAAAACAAGCAAGAAACTTCATAGCTATGACAGTGCCGATTATCAGAGGGAAAGGAGTGTGGGGGAAGGTTGAAGAGGGCGAAGGGGGGACAAATGGTGATGGAAGGAGACTTGACTTTGGGTGGTGAGCATACAATACCATATGCAAATGATGTATTAGAGAATTGTATACTTGAACCCTATATAATTTTATTAACCAATGTTACCCCAATAAATTCAATTAAAAAAAAAGCTAGTGCCTTGTTCCTTGGCATTAGGTCCATGTTGCAGTCTTGTGAGCCTAGGTGTTCTGAGAGCTGAAATGCTTAAATGCCGCTGTTACGTGGCCACGTGGCGCTGGGCCTCCCGTCTTCCTTCGGGCACACTGGGCCGGACTCGGGTGCTTTTGGTGGCAGGCCGCAAGCTGCCGCAGACTGAGCCGGCCAGGGCCGCTGGCCGCCCTGTGTTGGGGCCTCCCGCAGGTGCCCGTGGGGCTGCGGGTGCCTGTGGCGCTGCAGCTGTTTTCCGCTTAAGAGTCATATTTCCATCTCGGAGCTAGAGGAGTGATTTTCCCTAAAAAATTATTTGCCACGTGCACACTTTTTAAAGAACATTTCACAATTTTACTTTCTTTTTTTTTTTTAAGATTTTATTTATTTATTTTTAGAGAGGGGAGGGAGAGAGAGAAACATCAATGTGTGGTTGCTGGGGGTCATGGCCTGCAACTCAGGCATGTGCTCTGACTGGGAATCGAACCTATGACACTTTGGTTTGCAGCCCACACTCAATCCACTGAGCTACACCAGCCAGGGCTCAATTTTACTCTTTCAAACCCCTAGGATGACGACACAGAGCCGAGCCTCTCCTGCAGTGTCTCACACAGGGCCCCTAAGATCTGGAGGTCGAGGACCAGCACTGGACCCCCAGTGGGGCCTGCTGCTCCATGGCCTCCCCGGGAGCCTGAGCTGCTCAGAAGTGACTTTGGTGCCCAAGACAGCCAAGAATGCCAACGGGCAGAGGGCCTGGTGTGGGTCAGGCACTGAATGCCCATTCTTGGAGTGAGGGTCTCACATCTTAGCCCATTTACTCTCCCTGGCTCCCCC